CCAGACAATCGCTGCATCAGGTACATACGATTCGATAGAGATTGTTCGAGAAATTGTCTCTCCAACAGATTCCAGAGACCAAATGCCGTTTTCTCCCGAATCACTTTTCTGAGAATTTGATCTGCCAAGCAAAGAACAATCAAATTTCTGGCTCTCCTGCTTTTATCGGCCCTTTCTTTCATACTTCTGATTCGTTCTTCCTTTTCTGTAGATCTTTCCGAGCTCCTTTCTTTTTTATCAGTGATTCTAGATGTCATTGTACTCGAAATTACTGACGCCTGTGGTGTAGCCATGAACTCTTCTAGAGCTTGTCCTGATCTTTCCCCAGAATCTTCTTCAACCTTCTAATCTTTCGGATCATCTGTTAGAGTTTCAGATAATCCCATTATTTCAAGCCCAATCATAACCTTTTCTTTCCAGAGTACAAAATCTCCCTTTCCATCAAACCTCTCAACATCTAATTTCTGCATCGGAATCGCCATGCCTTTTTTCTGCAAATCAGATTCAACTCCAAATCTCCCTAGATCGGAAACTCCAAAGCCACAACCGGGCTCGGATACCACATGTTACAGCCTGAGCTTACGAATCACCTGCAAAACAAAACAAGAACACAACTGATACGATCTCGGATCGAAATTCTCTAGAAAGGTGGTGGAAATAACCAAAACCCCTAATCAACTCGTGAAAGAAACCTAGGCCCAATTTCTTGAAACAAGAAACGTCCTAAACCCCTAAACAAACCTGGATTAGAAACGTTGGTTTTGCGAAGACGCCACAAACATGAGCTAACGTTTGATAAGTTAGGATGAACGCTACGAACGGAATCACTCCATTCGATAAGTTCAAAGGTTCCAAAAAGAACCATGAGCTAAAAGCTCAAACTCACTAAAAGTGACACTCAAAGAAAACTCATCTATATTTCATAATTTGATTTCTTTGCATATTTATAGGCTATACAAAAGGATAAAAAAAAATAAAGAGACAACAAAAATCTATGTGGTCAAAAACAAATCCCAAAGTAATAAATGTGGAAGCTTGAAAGACCATTTGACCTTGACTAAGATAAATACATCAGAATCTTCTCTTCAAAGCTTGACTTGGATCTGATCCAATCTTGTTATGGGCTCTTGGTTTTGTTGAGAAATTGGCCCAATAAGAATATGTCATTTCTTGGACTGAATTCATCAGATTTGGAGATAGAACGGACGTGATCTTCAAACGAATGATTGAGGGTCCAAACTTTCACCAAAAAATATGTACTTGATATCCTGTGAAGATCTGGATGTCTAGTTTATGTTGCTTCAAACGGAACTGCGATCGGAGTCTCCAAAAGTTATTTATGAAACAAGACGTTAAGAATATGTCATTTCTTGGACTGAATTCATCAGATTTGGAGATAGAACGGACGTGATCTTCAAACGAATGATTGAGGGTCCAAACTTTCACCAAAAAATATGTACTTGATATCCTGTGAAGATCTGGATGTCTAGTTTATGTTGCTTCAAACGGAACTGCGATCGGAGTCTCCAAAAGTTATTTATGAAACAAGACGTCATGCTCAATCTGTATTCCCAGGACTGAACCGTGGATTGCGTCCTCTCTCCAGGATTGAAGATTTCTTCATTGGATCTCAACTTCTTTAGATCAAACCCTTGGTGAGTCAAGGTTCATTTCTAATTGGAATCACGTCGTTTGGACATTGAAGTGCAAAGTTATGACCGAATTGCTCCGTAGCGTGCAATCTGTCCAAAACCGACAATTATCGGAAATACATAATATGATCAGGATTGATTTTTCTGTGTTTCTTGATACATCTCGCTGGAATCATATCAGCAACCGAAACCAAGTGCAAGAAACAGAAACAAGGGACAAGAGAGATCACGAGTTCGGATTCAAGCGTTGTGCTTGATCCTACGTCTCGGTAAGGCCTGGGTAGTTTATTGATTGTGGCTGGGAACAACCCGAATAGGAGAATTTCACCAAGATCTCTCTCAGTCTCTTGGTTACAAGAATCAGAAAAATTGAGCTCTACAACAATGGCGTCCTTCGTCTCGGACTTTTATTAAAGTCTCTAACAAACCCGTCTTCGAAATTATCAGCATGCATGGCCTTGTGTCCATTAAACAACAATTCCTTCATATGCGACGTCGTCTTCCACTAAAGTGAAACCTTCTGACTGAAAGTGAAGTTCTTCCTGAGCTTAATACTCACTACAAGAAAACAGCAAAAGGGTGACGCACCTTTTGCGTCACCCTTTTCAAAAGGTGACGCAATAGTGACGCAACCAAAAGCGTCACCACTCATACTATCACCAATTCAGATTTTGTCACCAAGCGTCACCAAAGTGTGATGCAATAGTGACTCAAATTTTGCGTCACTAAATAGTGACGCAAAAAAATGACGCAGTTATTGCGTCACTAAAACGTATTTTGGATCCAAAAATATTTTTTTGATCCTGAATCTAATCCTATACCCTAATCCCGACCTCTAACCTCCAACCGCGATCTTAAGCCGAATCGTAAATTCTTAAATTGAATCCCCGACATCCACTTCCCAGAAGGTGACCCATCCTTCCACTACTCCAGCTCAAACACGCTTAACTTTAGAGTTTCAATTGACAAGTAACCAACTGTTCCAAGTTAAACTTCTAATACATTACAACATTAATACATATACATACACAAAAATTTATACTTACAAATATATATACGTATTGATCACACGGGTTTTCCACTGGTTTTTCTAACGTCATACATTTTGATTCTTCTCACATTTCAGGCATATTAGGACGTTAGGTGGTCATGGGTAAGATTCTTTCTCCCATTTTTCCTTGCAGGATGATCGAACGAGGATATTTGCGCACGAAGCACGGAAAAGGAGCGGAATCGAGAAGTCCTGGAGAACTCAGACAAAGTGAGCGGTCCGCCAAGTTAACCGAGCGGTCGCTCGGTGTGTAAATGTTGAAGAACAGGCGGTCGCTCGCACAACCAAGCGGTCGCTCCGATGCATAGTGAAGACCAGGCGGTCGCTCGCATAGCCAGGCGGTCGCTCCGATTTGTAGTGAAGAACGAGCGGTCGCTCATTATGCCAGGCGGTCGCTCGCTCTCGGAAAACAGGCGACCCTAAAGAAGAAATCAGGTGACCCTGAAGAGAAAATGAGTGACCGCTCGATATCAAAACCGGCCCAAAAAGGAAAAGCCCGATTTTTGAGGAAAAATCTAGTTTTGCACTTTGATAAAAAAGAGGACTTTGAGGAGAGAGAAAGGGAGACTCGAAAGTAGAGAAGAAAATCACCTTGGAGAAGAGGCAAGAGAGATTTGGAGACCTAGGGAGACATCTTGAAGGAGGAGATCACCATTGAAGACCATCTTGAGCATTTCTTCTCTTTTTCTATGTTTTCCTCTTTTGTTTTCTGTTTTGAGACCCTAGTTATGGAGTAGTGACCTTGTTGTGGGTGAGGGATCCCCTTTTTTGTATGGACACCTATGCTTATCTATGTGATGTCGTAAATCTAGGTGTAGAAATCTATCAAGTAATAATATTTCTAGACTCAAGAATTAACCGCAAGTGTACGGATCGTGTGTAGTAGCTAGGGTCGAACACAGGGACAAAATTAAGCAAAGGAGTTAAACCCAAATCCAAATCTAAATCCAAGAAAAATAATAGGAATGTGGAAAATGGAATGTTGAGAACAAAGCAATTAACTAAAACGGTTGTAGACAATCAATTGAAAACACTGCAGGCTTCGGGATTGCTTTACATGCAAGGATCTTCTCTAAAGATGCAAACGAAGTGGTTTATCTATCCAATTCAGGGAACTCAAGCTCTAAAGTAGAGATTAACTCTCTCAAGTCTAATCTCACTATCCAGGCTTTATCCTACTAATCTCTCGATTCAATAGTCTAAAACCCTGGATGCATGAACGAACGCTATCATAATCCCTAGGCAAATATTCATCTCTCGATGCAATACCTGTTCTATTTACTGAGTTATTACCAGGTTAGAATCCCATATGTCTATGCGAATTAAAACCCTAAGTTCATTCAATCAAGTGGCCAACAAGATCAAACGCATTAAGAACAACTCAATAAACTGAATCAAATAAATAATACCACATAAGCCGGGATTAAAAACCAAAGATCCCTACATAGCAAATCTCTAATCCACAGCAAGGGAACTACTCACTAAACATCGAAACGACAGGGTTCATATCAGTAATACAAAACATCGTAAAATAGAAGAAAAGAAGAATGCTTAGTCGATTTCCCGGCTTCGTAATCTCCGTCTTCTACTCTGATCTCTTGCCTCTTGATAATCTCCCCCTTTTGGTGTGCTCTAGGTCTATTTTCTGTGTAAAGTCCCAATTCTTTTCGATATAGTAAAGGCAACCAATAAGATGAGTCAAGAGAGAAGTAAATAAAAAAAAAGAATACTTAGCTCGCGACGTTCGTTCACTCGCACTTAAGTCTGCCTACGTCTATCGCATAGCTAGCTTCCTTGCCTCCTCGACAGCTCCTCATTAGAACTCAACCTGGTGATAAGAGACACAAACCAATATCCGATGCAAAAAAGAAAAGAAAGAAAAGAAAAACTAACCTACAAACTCGGGTTGCCTCCCGGAAGCGTTTGTTTAAGGTCGTTAGCTTGACCGAACCTTCTCAACTACCATAAGGGTCTAATAGGCGAAGATTATCGATCTTTCGCCAACCTGGATCAAGAGGTGTATGAGAATGGTGGTCTGATAGGCTAGTGACCTGTTGATCTGAGTGAGAGAGGTCGTGAGCGCCCATGCGAGATGAAAGTGAGGCGTTGTATCGTGCTGGGGTCTGAACCGATCGGTTGGAGAATGTAGAACTCC